CATTCGCTGAGCACATCGTCCGTTGAGGCTTTGTCCTTGATGTATTTATGAGGTCATTGATGATCCACAATTCAAAAGGTAATAAATTCCATAGTTTTGAACCAGTGACATCACATGAAGTGTCACATCACTGTTGGACTCTGGGCTGGAGATGAATGTTTATACTTTTTCTGAGTATAAACATTATACTATAGAGTCAACACCAAACTGAGATGAATAAAGAAGGCGGAGGATAGGCTGAAAGATTTAAACAGATGAACTGATGGAGATGCTCAGTGTAAGAAAGATTCATACTTGTGGAACTTCCAGCTTTGAATTATTTTAGTATAGCAGAGGAAACTTTGACACCTCAGAGGAATACATAAAAAAAGTTACAAATTGGGGTTACGATGCTGAATTGAAGTAATTTTGCCACTGTTTTCCTTTTAGGTGTATCCCCTGGGTATGATCTCTGTATCCTATGATGACTGGGAGTACCCACTGGAGACGCGGGTGCGGGACGGGGTGGGCATTATTTCCACTGCGGCCTCCTCCATGCTACGGGAGAAGGGGGATCTGCCGGAGGCCCAGGCCGGCTGCATCAGCACACCATCAGACAGGAGCCCAGGAAAGCTCCCACCTAGTGCCCTGCGCGGGTGAGTTTTTTTGACATGCATGTGTGTGTGAGTGGGTTTATGTGTGAGCATAACCCACAGTGTAAGAAAATTGGGGTCTACAGACTTGCATAACTCAGCTTGTCTTTGTAGCTCAGTGTTCAGCAGTCTTGCATAACCCTTTTAATGTTCTAATGAGAGGGATGGTGTTGGAAAGGAAGCTGAGATGACAGCAGTGTTAAACTCTGTGATTTCTAATGACATTTAACACTGTCAGCTTTTGTGTGCAGCTTTTTGAAGCCAATTGTGTCTCCTTAGCTAAAAGACAAAACAGTAAAAGGCAGACCTTTATGTTGCTGCTGCTCTGTGTTAACTGGAGCTCAGCAGCTTCTGATGTGGATGTGTTTTTGCTTCATGACAGGATGCACTTCCAAAAACTCAGTTGTATAACAGGTTTTATCAGCTTTCTTCTTTTTGCTATTTTTGTCATTCAACTCTGTGGACAGCACACATCTCCTAGCAGCTATGTTCATGTTTGCTGTACTGTGCAAAAGTCTTGAGTCAACTGTCTTTTCCTTTGTGTTCTCTGTTAAAACACTTCATACAACTGAATCTCCCAAAATACCAGTATCAGGGAAAACTTTAATTTCTTTCAGTAATTATATCAAAAAGTGATGGCTGGACAGAGATAAGTCACCAGCCCCTATTCAGAGTTTAGGGGCTGGTGAGGTCGGGTACACCCTGAGGTACACAAGTCACCAGGGAAGCACAGACAAGACCAAAAACCATGCAAACACACACACACACATGCACACACACTCCCACAGCTAAGAACAATTCAGAGCAAACAATCACCCTAAGTCATGTTACTGGACTCTAGGAGGAATCCAACATTAGGAAAGAGAATGAGTTAAAAAAAACAAAAAACAGGCAAAGATATAAAGAACTTTCAAAAAGTAAGGAGAACTTATGATGACGACTGCTTGAAAAGAAAATCTGACTTCGTACATGTAAAGTAGTGGTCTATGATTTGATCTATATTTGCATACGTCATTAACAGGTGTCTGCAGCTGTCTGTGGTGACGGGGTCCTTGTCAGGTTCTTTAGACAATAAGAGAAGAGAAAGATGTAGAAATATGGATGCATAATCACAGGACTGTTCCATGCTGTTCGTCTTTGTGTTTCTGCTCTGTGATATTGTAACTGCCTCATGAATATGAAATGTGCAATGGCCAAAATATGAAATAATACATTCCAAAGTCTATATTAAACAAACAAACACATAAGGGTCATGTTGCTCAGCTCTGTTTATCTAGAATGAACTATGAGCTCCCTCATTAGAATAGGAGTCATAATTTTGTCATCCTCCTTATTAGTTCATTAAAATATATATTAAGCCTCCAACAATAATGGTGTTGTTAACATGCTGATCTAGTAGAACTCTTAATAGCAACTTTCTTAAACTTTATTATGTGTCCTATAACAATGTAATTTGTCTCATTAAGTTATTAGATTTTATAAAAACAACAAGAAATAAAAAACAGTGAAGCTGGATTTTGAGGTTGGATTCCTTTCCCCGAGTTGGAGGAGGTGAGGCTGAATGGACTCCTGCATTGCATTAGTCTAGATTCCATCTTTGTCGGAGTGTGAACATCAGCAGCGTGAGACAGAGACAAAGAAACAAGACAACATAATCTGGCATTTCAAAAACACTATCAAATCTGCTGGATCTGACATCACTCGGGCTGCGCAGGAATTAAAATCTTAGACTTTAGTATGTGTGAGCTGTATAATAGTTCAGGTTGGAGACGAGATTTATTCTCTGAGTTTATAAAAAAAATTGTCTTTGCGATGTAAGTGGTGTTAATGCTAAAACTATAAGCTGTCACTTTTCTTGCTGCTTTAAAGTAATTTTGTTGGAGAAACTTTTTCTTCTACCTCATTCATGCATTTGGAGAAGTTTTCACACCAAGGTCACATAATGTATTACAGCTACAGAGAACAAAATGTGGAACCTTTACAATAAAAGCAGGAATATTCAATGTCTTGTTGATTGAAATGCTATTTAAACAACGGCTAATTTTTTGCAATTTCCCACAAATAAAAGACCTTCTTTATTACAATAATCAAGGAAAAATAACACGAGGACAAAAAAAAGATCTGGTTTTCATCTGGCTCTAAAATTACTGAAACTAACCTGAAGTGTAGAAAAACACACAATAGATTCCTTATTTTAACCCCTTGCAGAAATCAGCATGGGAGCCAAAACTTTCAAATGTACAGGTTTCATCTAAAAAATATATTCTAATCTAAATCTATTCTAATCTACTGCTCCCCCTGTTTCTTCACTATGCTGTCAGCATCATAAAAAAACTAAGACTCAACATAGCATCTTAAACAGTGCACATTTCGACTGACAAGCTGAGTAACACAGCTACCATACGCGTTCCATGCACCACAGACTGGAAAAGAGCCACTTTAAGAATAGCTTTGTTGCCTTGACTAACATTGAACAAACTCCTTTGACAATAGTCCATTCCCCTGTGTTTCATGTGATGCATTGTCTCTTGTGATGTGTGTAAGGGGGTGCTTAAGTGGAGGGAGGGAAGTATGTTATAAATGTTATATGTCTGTGAGGCTTTGTTTGTGGGAAATGTTAGGAAAATATAGGAAATATTGAAGTTGCTGTTTATGCTTTTGATGCTTTACTTTTTGTGAGATGACAAAGTTATTTATATCTACAGCTTGGAATGCGTAATGACGGGTGAACAAGATTATTCTTGTAGCAGGCAGGGCTACGCTAACCAAATGAAACAGCAGCTTTGTTGGTTCTTTTAACCTATCAGCTTTCAGATTTGACTCTGTCCGGTTTTCTTGTTGAGAAAATTTGATCAACTGTGTTGAGAGATCAGATCCATAATTTGCAATTCTGAAGATATGCAAAAAGAATTTCCTAAAAAGACAGCAGAGGACATAGAGCAAAGCAGGGCACACGGGGGAGGGAGCAGGAGGAAAAACCAGCTTCCATCTTTAAAGAGAGTAGAAATAACTCTTGTTTGAAACAATCATATTGTTATTGTTATTATATTGTTATTCATTTTCTTTTTGCTATATTTTGTATTTAACTAAAAACAAATTACTATTATTTTTTTTCATATTCATTTATTTTAATTACTCTCTTTTTTTAATGAATCATGTCCTCTTTGCGTTTTCTCCTATCCCTTTCTCTCTTTTGTCTGTTTATTTACAGATTATTTTTCTTTTCTCATGTTCTCTTTTATTTTCCCATCTGACTCTCTCTGGAAGGTAAAGTGCCAAACAGGAAAAGGTGGCGTTAGCAAGCCTGTCAACTTCTCTCCTATTGGTCAACATTGGTTGACTATGCAGAGAAGAATTTTACATGTTCGTAAAATTTCAACTTTTAAACTAAATATGCCAAGTGTATTAATCATTTTGGATTTATTATATGTTTGCAAGGCTCTGTCTGAGTGAACAATGGAGCAGTGTTCTTTGGAACATAGCACCTACCAATTAGAACATATGACAGCAAACACCTCGTGTCAGCTGAAGGACTGATGATGAGGGTCATTTGGTTGACCACATTCTGTCCTCTGCTTCAGGCCATCTGAACAGCTGAAGCTTAGCATAATCAGGATCATTAAACAAGATAACAATTCCAAACATTGCAGCAGAGCAGAAACATGATGATGGAAGAGAAAATAATAACGTTTTACAGGCCCTGACAAACATTAGGAGTAAATCTGGTTTAATGACTCTACTTGATTAGATTTTACATTAAGTATTTATTTGTATAGCACCTTTCACAGACATAAAAATCACAAAGTGCTTTACAAAAAAGGAAACATCAATAATAAAAGAATCTAAAATCAATGAACAAAATTAACCAAAAGCCAATCTAAAGAGTTAAGTCTGCATTGTGGTCTGCTTGTATAGTTCTGATAATTTAACCAGTTTTTCTTGTCAAACACTTTGAGATGTTATTTGGTGTGAATTGGCGCTAAATAAATATGATGTATTAAACTGAATTACTGTGATCTTAAAAGAACAGATAATAATATCTGCACTGTAGACCCCAATGAACTGAAACATTGGACTAGAAAACAACACTTTAAGTTATTGATTTTACAATCTGATAATGTCTAGATAACTTTTAATATATTCTAATATAAAACAATAGGACTAGGAAAGAGTGAAGCTCTTTTTACAGTGACTACAGTTGTATTTTTTCCTGAGAATAAAGCTCTGGATCAAGTCCTTATACATGAATACCAAGACATAAAAATATAAATATATCAAGCAATTTTTTGAGGCATGCATTAGAACCACAGCAGTTTCAGCTGTTCAGATTAAACAGATTTTATTCAAACAGGAGGAGACAGTTTATTCCCAGAGTAAACTGTGATGGTGTTTTAGCAATACATACTCAACCACAGCAATTTATTGCAACAAGGGCATACCTGCTGCACTATGAGGAACTTTCAAACATTAAGGTATATTTACCTCAACATGCTACTAATAAATTAATCCATTGTAATATATAATAGGGACAGCTTCAATTATAGAGAGCAAAAGTGTCTATTATGTGTATTTGCGTAGGTTTATGTGGAGCTAATTATTTGTGCTTGAAAGAGGGTGTATCAACAATGGAGCTAACCCTGCAAAATGTAACAACACCGCAGTATGCAATAATGTAGTAAACTGAGGATTCAAAATGTATTAAAACATTATTAAATATATATTACAGATGTATATAATAATATAAGATATAATAAAATCTTACAATGTATTTTGTAACAGTTTATTCCATGTTATGTTATAGCATTATTACATTTGAGGAGATTATTACAATTAATCAATCAATCAAGTTTATTAGTACAGCACATTTCAGCAACAAGGCAGTTCAAAGTGCTTCACATCATAGAAACACAAAACTGATAAAAAACAACATACATTATGATATTTTTCACTGGCAGGGTTAATGCAAATCTGCAGTCAAATTCTTCTTATTCATCATGACTTTCAGTCACAATATTTCAACTTATGCATTGACCTTTCAAGGGTCAACAACTCTTGAAGGGTCCCTAACTCTTGTTTTAGTAAAAATCAGAAGGGAGATCTACTCTCTTTATTTAATACCATTAAATTAGAAATGTTCATGGGGCTAATTTTTGTCCTTTTTGCTTTGGTCAGACGAGGTTTCTGTTGTCAAGCATCATCCGTCAACTCAGTGTCAAAATGGATTATTTAAGAGGAAGTGCTTGTCTGTTTTGTAATTTAGTCTTCTCCTTAAACTTCCTCAGATGGCCCATCTTTCTCCCTTTGGGAATTCAAGCTATTATATCATGTTTTAACCATCAGATCAAGCTTGCTGTCTGAAAGTGGTTTAACCAAAGTGAGTGTGTTCTTAGTCTCACATCACTGCTGACTCTTTTGCTGCCTTCCATTGGTTCGCTTTAGCAAGCATAAAGGTTTCACCAAAAGCCTGTTTGCACATGCAGGAGAGCTGTTTTGAGTAAGAGAGTGGGGCCACCCTCGTTGCACCAGTGACTTGTCTTTCAGGCGTACATCTGTGAAGGAATCAATGCAGAATGTTGGTGGAAGAGATATATGCCCTCTGACTCTGCCTCCCACCCACTCACAACACAGATTCACACTCTGAGGCATGCACACATGCACACAGTGGGTGAAGACAGCATTGATTTGTAGAGGATCCTCTTGCAGCGATTACAGAGTGTTTAGTGTTTTATTTGAAATGTATCTGCTCCTGTGCACAAACTGTGACTGATGTGTAACAACAGCTCCCTCTGCTCTCTAACTCTCCATGGGCCGCAGACATATGATGCATGTGTGGAACGAAGGACGAGATCTATCCTTTACTCCAGATGGTTACCAGGCCAACCCCAGATTGGTTGTCATTGTGTTGAACAGTGAAAGAAAGTGGGAGAAGGTAACAATAAAAGGGTTTTTTATTATTATTATTATTAAATTTGATGAGGATCTATGTAAAAAAAAAAAAAAAAAAAAAAGAAGTAAAAGACCGATAAGGATTCTTGTGTCTGATTTTGTTTGTGTGCACACAGATGGGCCGCTGGGAAAACGGGACGCTGTCGCTCATGTTCCCAGTGTGGCCGAGGTATAACGCCCATGGGGATGAAGATGCTGATGAGAACCACCTCTCCATAGTTACTCTGGAGGAGAAGCCTTTTGTCGTTGTGGATAATGTAGACATCCTCACCGGCACCTGCAACAGGAACTCTGTGCCCTGTCGTAAACATGTCAAGCTGTAAGTACCCAAACACTCCAGATGTCAGTGAACTACAGCTAACCACAACTCAAGTTAAAAGTCACATTTATAAAGTATTCAGGCAAAGATTTACAGACTGTGCTTCAGAAACAGCATACAGCTTTTACGCATAATATCATGTGACAAGTAGAAAGCAATTTATTTCACTTTTTTTTTTTTTGACCAGCCAAAACAGTAGAATAACTATAAAAATGTGAAAATATGTTTTCAGCCCCCATTACCACAAAGTATAACTGGACCAGTGAATTACCTTCAGAAGTTGCCTAATTAGTAAACCACCTATATTTATGCTGTACATCAGATGTTGCTTAGAGGCCTTTGAACTTTTTTATATTTATTATTCAGTGAATAAACCACATCATGAGGACCAAGGAGTACAGCAGACAGAACAGGGATAAAGCTGTGGACGATACAAGTTAGATTATGAAACATTATCAATGTGTTACAGTGGGCTGTTCAATGTCCAGATCCGGTTATGCATTTGTGCTAAGACTTAAATTGTTCTCTATTCAATCTGTATAAGCTTAACTTGTTTTTGAAGAAAGATATGCAAAAAATATCTGTCTATAGATGTCCAATGCTGTTAGTGCTCCTCACACACACACACACACACACACACACAAAATGTTGTCCCACAAGGGCTTTATTCTTGGGGACGGAGTCCTTACAATGCTTTCCAGATTTTTGTTTATTAAAGGTTTATGGCTGTAATAAAGTAAAATGAGGAAAAAAAATTCAGGTTTTATGAATCAATTTGCAAGGAACCTCACCTTTAGAAGGTGATAAGAGAATGTTCCTAAAGTAAATCCAGTAAAACTAAAGCAGGTCCTTCTTCATCTATGTTTGTATTAAACATCCTTGAAGCGTAATCACACCTTTCTAACCGAGCTCAGTCTGTCTGACAACACAATTGTCAATCAGCTGCCGTTTGCTCATCATCTTGTATTCCATCCTGGGCCCACACATTTTCATTTTATATAATAATGACTCACCATCTGTTTATGCAGGGGACTGATATCCAGATGTATGTAGCTTTCACTGGAATAAATACTTATGGTTGGACACATTTACAAGACAGGTTCTCATTTAGTTTAATCTGGGTTTTTTCTTCTTGAACTGATAATGAATTTCTCCCTATTGCTCTTTGCTCAGATGTAATTTACTGTGCAGCCATTTTTTTCTTTCACTTCAGCTTTATTAGTGCTTTGTTTTGTAATTTAGTAATATAGATTTTGTTTTAAGTAGTGTAGCTATTGATTATACACTCAAGTTTACGGATATTACAATTCATCTCAAGTATGAATTGTAATATCCTCTTAGCCCATTGCAGTGTTCTTTATGTTTTTACACAGCATTTTACATTAGAAACGCCTCCTAAATCTGCAGCCTACATTATAATTCAAAAATACAGGAATGCAAGAATGTATCTTATCTACCTTATACAAAGCAACATTTAAAGACATCAGCTAGGAAATACAACATTGGATTTAAATGGGTCTTCCACGTAGACAATAACCCAAAGCATCCAGCCAAAGTGGTTGTTACAAAGTGGGTTAAGGACAAAAAAGTCAGTGTTTTGGTGTGGCCATCACAAAGTCCTGGTCTCAGTGCTATGGAGAAGTTGTGGGAAGATCTGAACAGGCATGTGTGAGTGAGGTGGCCTACAAAATGAGCTGCCTCATTTGTGCTCCTTTTAGATGAGCTGGAGTTCTGACTCATTCCCTCTGCAGAACAAGTCAGAACTCCAGCAAACTGTGGTGACAAACTTGTGGAAGGGAAGAAACTCAAAAAATTGGAGGGGTGTTACAAATGAGCTAACAGTTAATAATAATAATAATAATAATAATAATAAACTGAATTATGGGTGTTTTATTGCAAAGGGAGGCAGTTGGAATTGCCAAATGAACTGAACTTACATAGCACTTTTCTAGTCATTTTGACCAGTCAAAGTGCTTTACAGAAGAGTCACTGTTCCCATTTGCACTCACAAATGCACATATTTATCCACTGATACACAGGCAACTTAGGTAGGCAACTAGGGTTGAGTGCCTTGTCCAGGGGTAAATGGAAACATGACAGGAGGAAGCTGAAATCGAACCTACAACCTTCTGTTTGTTTTTCAGCAGTCTCTCTGTGGAAAGGTTGGGAGCTGAGATCGTGTTGGATTTTATCTGGAAGATTTTGACAGGATCACGATCCTCAAACTGACCAAAGCTTTTGTCTGAGTGAGAAAACAGTCTTCTGCCCAGAAGTCAGGGGTCTTGAATTTGCAATTTACTCTCAAGGTTTTGTTCACGATAGTGACAAGGATTTTTTTGGGTTCCTGCTGAATTTTATTTCAAAGATCATTGTGTTATGCCCTGATTCCCATACACCGTTCTAGAGGGGATTTCCTACAAAGGATTAGCCATGGCCTATGAAATTCTTTGTCTCTCACTTAGCCAAAGGTTTTTACCCCTAAAAGTGTCAATTTATAATAATATAATCTTTCTGCTCTACTGCACAGAGTGATATGTGCTGTACATGCTGGAAGTTGTAGAAATTTGTTTGAGGTTGTCACTTTTAAAGATTCTTGCTTGTAAAAAGTTTGGTTGTGCAAGATTAACGGACATTTTGATTGGTTCTTGATTGGTTTGGTTGGTTGTTCTGGAGTAGAGCTGAAACAACTCACTCAGCTCATCTAAATTTTATAAACTGTTACTTTTTTTGTTTGTTTCAGAAGTGTTACTGGTGGGAATTTCCTTAATATTTTTGATATTTTGCTGTTTAAACAGACTTCTAAAGATTTCCTTCACAGAACAAATAACAATAACCTTCTGAATAAATTGGCAGTGTTAATTGTAATTCTGATTTGTTCTTCTCTGACTTGTGTAATTTGTGACTTCTGCTATTTTTGCCCCCTTTAAAGCTAAACTTTAGTTGACTCAGCAGTATTAATCCAGCTCCAATAAAACTGCTGTTGCACGTCTGAGGCCAGAAAGTGAAAAGATGTTTAAAGTATCTTTTCCCACCTGTTCTCCTGAACCTCTCAGTGCTCTGGGTGCGTCAACTATTCTGTTCAGAAGCTATATGTGGTCTGCCCCATCGTCAACCTCTCCAAGTTCTCCTTTTTTGTCTGCCCATGTTCTCCACCCATCTTCCTCCCCTCTGCCTGCCAGTGGCCGTTCACATCAAATTCCATATTCTGGCATCCAGCACACCTCGGGAGTTGTTCACCATGTCTGCAGGCTATGATCTATCCTCTCTCACCACGAGCGGAAACTTAACTTGTAGCTCCCAGCAGCAGTGTTGTCATTATTTCACCTGGCCTTGACTCCTCTCTCAGACACTCCTCTACAGCAAAATGTTGGGAGTAGAATTACTCTGCAATATTTTGTTGTAAAAAGTACATACTTTTTGTGAAATTTTCTGTTTCCAGTAACCTCAGAGGTCCAGCTGTTTTAAAAACCAGTCACCCACATGTAATAATTTGTATGCTTCTCTTTGCACTTTGATCTTATCTACCGCAAAAGTTTTAGGAATTCATAACTGACTTAACTTGCAGTGTAAAATTAGTAAATTTAAAGTTCATTGCAAAAAAAATTAAGTGTGATCAATCGCTTCTTTTTGTATTTTTTAAGACCCCTGACTTTCTTTGAATCTTAGAAAGCTGTCTTGACTATTTTCATTGGTTGTTTTTACTCAAGTCAAAGTTTATTTATATATCAGTGCTAAACAACAATCACAACATCACAGACAGATTAATTGATTAATCTATCTATCTAATTAAATTAATTCTCAGCCTCAGACTAAAGTGTTTTTTTTAGTAAAGTCTAATCAACCCTGATCTTCTACCCCCACGTTTACCCATAGAGGTGGTTTGTTCAGGGTTATGTGTGAGCATTCTCCATGCTGGCCGGAAGGTTTCGTTTTCTTCTCATTGTACCAGCACATCTTCTACCACATAGTTGTCCTGGTGACAGATTATCCCACCTGTGCATTGGGTCTCTGCAGTGGTATTGGCCTCTTGGCTACTTCCTAGATTAATGCTCACCTTTCCCTGCCTAACAGCCCTGGGGGGAGGAGGGATGGCTAAATCGTGGTGAGTTTGCAGAAGTCCCATTTTCATGATGGACTGAATACTGCAACATGCATTGTTCTAAGTGTGGCATATATTATTTACCATCCTCAATTAGAGAGTTGTTAACTGCTCAATTAGATGGTTTGCAGAAAAAAAGAAGCCTGTGAAGATTTGACTTGTACAGAAGTGTAAATGCTCCCTAGGAAAACGTTGCGGGTCTGATTGCACGATAAACTCCCCATGTGAGCTGACTCGGTCATCTAATTGTTCATGCCTACAGTCTTGCTAATCTAAGTGGTTGCTATGATGCATGTCTTTCTCGTTGTGTCCCTGTTTCTCAGTATGACAACCACACACATGCACACACACATTTTTTTAAAAAGTGAACTCCAGCATAGAAATCTTCAAAGACAGCCTGATTCACTGAGTCCTCTCCTGACAGTCCTGAGGAGAGCCATTATTCAGGACATCTAAAAAAGAATCCAAAACTGTCTGTGAGTGTGTTTTTGGAAGCAAAGTAAAAACAAAACAAGAGTGACTAAAGATTTTTGTATTACACTGCATCAGCATAGTACACAGTCTGCTTGACACAGGCTAACCTAAACATTGTGTGGTGTTAAAGTCCAGTGCAAATTAATCTTGTCTGAAGAAAGCTTTGACATGAAATACAACAGTACTTATAGCTTATTGTAGGCTATCATTACTAATCATTTACACACTGGCCTTTATCGTATTGAAAGAAATCTTAATGAAATATAAACTTTCAGCAACCGTTCAACCGTCAGGATGCAGTGCACAGAATGTCAAAAGCCCAGATGTAAACCCTGCAGATTAAAGGGCAATCAGCTGTGCATAACAGCCTGGCAGAAACACTAGCTCAAAGCCTTTCCCCCAGAAACAGATCAGGCTGAGCTGCCGCTCTGCCACTCACAGACAGTACATTATGGTGTTCAGAGTGCAGATGCAGGGGACAACATCATTAAGAACATTCAGATCTGGCCTAAGGTTACAATGGGCTTTACACTGCTGCTGCTACATTGACTTTTTATCTCCATACACCTCTGACAATAAATGACTGTTGTTCATGTTGATCTTATTGAGCAAATATTGTCCGATTTCACTTTATTTTTTGCATTCCTGGTGTGCTTGGCTGTGAACACATACTAAAGCTTCTACTTGCAACATATTGTATTGTGAAAACCTTTAACATTGATTGTGTTTTTATGAAAATTTTGTTTTATTACATCTATCAATATGATAATCAAATTCGCAAAAATCAAATCAGCAAATATCCTTTGCTGATTTGAGACATTTTGGATTTATTCAAATCCAGATCAGTGTCTAAAGCCAAAAAAGTCCTTTCAAATTCCACCCGTCCACTACACACTCAGCTTCAGGTAGCAGATTGTATTCTATTTAAGTGTTGAACAAATAGACTCAAGAACTCATTCATGTTTTAAACAATTAATTAATGGTCTGAGTTAAGATTACTATTGACTTACTTAAGTTTAATTTTAGTTTTAGCTCGAGTTTATATTTATTTTTGATGTATGCTATTAAATGATCTCATTTACCTTGAGATTTTTTTCTCATTTTTTATCTCACTAATTGTTTCAGTTCTTGTGTGAATGTGTGATGGGCGCCACAACTTGTCCTTGCAAATGGCTTGCCCGTCAGGGACTTAAAAAAGTGAAGTGAACTGAAATTTCACTTGTCATACAGAGGCTGGATTACTGCCAGACATTTAGAATCAAGAAATGATTTAAGCAGAATCTGTCTGACAACCCAAAACAAGCTAAAATATCACAAAAAGGAAAACATACTGCCCTGATCTAAAGAAACCCAAACCACAGCGAGAGCCTTGTGAGAGCCTTTATGCAGATCCAGATAATAACAAAAGTACTGCCTACCAGAATTTCTATAAGAGTGAATCAACGATTCAACCAGGGGTTTACAAAGTAAACCAAAGCAACATCTAGAACAGTGGTCCTTAACCTTTTTTGAGGTACCGAACCCACCAGTTTCATATGCACATTCACTGAACCCTTCTGTAGTGATAAATAAAATATGATTTTTTTCCCCCCAAATTCAAGACATTAGTTGGGTCACCCCAAGATCACTAAGTCTTCTTAAAAGGTAGAGTCTCTGAGAACAGTTCTTCAAGTCAGTGTTTTCAGCAAAGTTGAGCTGACTGTACAGGAATGACCCAAGGTATTTAAAATTTGCCACAGTTTCAACAGGTTGGCCATCGAGAGAAAGTCTTGTTTATTAGCTCTACATTCTTAAGAGAATGAAAAATTAATAATAAATAATGAAGACTTTGCGGTATTCTGATTTAGTAATGTAATTATATTAGTTGTGTTACCACCCCCACGCCACTAGAGACAGTACCAATCCCGAAAAGATGCGACTAAGGAGCAGATTTAGAAGTACACCGAAAGCTACAAGTTCAAATTCATGCTGAGAGTGAAACTCCTTCAATCAGTGCTCCTCCACAGCACTGATTGGCTAAGCAATGTAACGTGATCCTCTGCAGCTAGTGATGGCAAAGCGGGGCTCGTCATCACGACTTTACACAAGTGTGTCTTTACCTCCGCCGAACCCCTGAGACCGACTCATCGAACCCCTGGGGTTCGGTCTAACCCAGGTTAAGAACCACTGATCTAGAAATTCAGGCCTCAATGGCCTGAATTGAGGCCTGAATTTCGAAATGGTTGTAGATTTAGAGGTTGTAGATTTAGTAATAATAAATAGAACAGGCAGGAAGAATTGGCGAAGAAAGGTGAAAACCACACCTGAGCAAAGAGAGAACAATCCATGTTTTTCCAAATCATGGATTGGAACCTTGAAACAGAAAACCCTTAAGGACAAAGACTGGCTTGCGCAGCAGGACAGTAATCCAAAACACGCCTAAAACGCCACCTTGAGATTGCTTGAAAAACAAAAATGAAAGGTGTAACAAGGAGATATAGGAGGAATCTCTCTAGGCTGGTACTTTTCACAGCAGTTTTAAAAGTTACTGTCCAGCCCATAAGCACACTCTCACTTCTTCCATTTTATTGCTACATTTTTGTTGTTTCATAGCAAAAGTTAAACAAATGTGATGACAATTCGCTGTTGTTGCATGTTCACTTATGTATAAATGTGTGTTTACAGAATGAGATAAGGATTCTGATGGGCCCCAGCTGGGAAGAGATAATGTATACAGTGTGTGTGCATTTGAACCCCAGGGACACAGATCGTCCATACTCACAGATGTTGAACTCATAGTACTTTCTACTTCCATGTTTTTTTTTTAATCTTTTGATATTTCACATCTTTTACTATCATTCTCCGTTTTCTGTGCTCTGTGAATCTCTCAGTTCTTCATGAACTTTTCTCTCAGATTGGATTCAGCAAAAATGCCACATGAAAAGGTCATGGAGTTACGATCCATATAAGTTACATCAAAGATGGCCAACATGGGAATGAAATTAAGTTTTAATGGAAATGCTTTTGAAAAAGGCTGGTAGGGTTTAATAGATTATGAGAATCACTTGATCCAACAATTCAATTTCTTTTGTTGCTCCCAGGTCCTCTAGGGACGACTGTCAGAAAAGTTCACTTAAATATTTGTTTTCTTTCTGTGCATGCACTGTGTGTGAGTGCATGCATGTGTGTGTGTGTGCGTGTGTGTGTGTGTGTGTGAGACTGCAAATACACACAGGTAAACTTTTTATTATGAAGGAGATAAAAGGAACAGAAGGTAGTGAAGAAAAGGACGGCTGATTATTTAATCATGTGGGCTGGTTGCTCTGTAACTATTTAAAGCCAGCAGCATCTGCTCAGTACCCCTGTGTTTTCATCTGGTTTGGTTAGCTGGCACTGAGGGAGACACACAGCACACTGTCTCTCTCTGCCTTTCAGCAGCATTCACGTTTCCTCTGCCTGTTGTAATTCCACATTTACAGTTTGACTGAAGCGACAGATGTGCACAAGCAGCTTAGATGGTTACAAGCAGACATCTTTACTTCTGGCATGCGTCCATGTGGTCTTGTAAATAAAATCTGGTTAAAAGTGTGCTTTTTGTTCTGTGTTTGTTACAGAAACAGCACATCAGGAGGTGCCTATATCAAACAGTGCTGCAAAGGTTTCTGCATCGACATTCTGAAGAAGATTGCCAGGAACGTCAAGTTTACCTACGATCTTTATCTGGTTACCAACGGAAAACATGGAAAGAAGATCAACAATGTGTGGAATGGCATGGTTGGAGAGGTAGTATCACCTTTGTTTCTCAAAAATATAATGATGTTTACTTCTGACTTAAAGTGTCAAAGACACAGTAAAACTACTTACATGATTTAAACAGATGAACTACCATCTTGTGATGGCGCTGCCCATCTTGTGATCAGGGTAAGTCAAACTGTAAACCCTGTGTATTCAGTGTATCTCAGTAAACTTGTTTACAGTTTGACTCAGATTGGTTTATTACCATTCAGTAACTTGGAGGCAACAGATGTTCAGCTCCAAATCTTCACCGTCAGACCTTTCCTCCCCAGAACCATTGGAGTCATTGTTGCTGAAATCTCTCACAACTTCCTCTGCTTCTGTGTATTCAACCTTAGATGTTTACGGTTTGACTTACCCTGATTACGTCACAAGATGGCGCAGGCATTTGACCCAGTTACAGCGATACTCTGCATTTATAGTAGTCTGTGAGAAGGATTTATTATTAAAAGCTTTTGAGTACACAGAAAGAAAGCACAGTAGCTCATCTTTTTAAATCATGTCATCTTGTCAGTAACGGGATAAAACGTCATAAAACATTGAATACTATGCACAGAATAGTTGTGCATAGTTTTCTATACAAACTATTCTGCTTCCCAAGACTTGAACATGACTATGAAATTTTGGTAACACTTTATTTAAAGAGGGGTGAATAAGACTGTCATGACACCATCATAAACATGACATAACACCTGTCATGAACATCAATAAGTCTTCATAAATATTTATGACTGTTGTCATAAAGTGTCATTCGGTAAATAATGACACTTTTAATACAAAGTTGACATCATTGAAAATATCTTTGTTATGACAACTTGTCATTAACCAAGACATCATGATCTGACATAAATTTGTTATAAAAGTATTACCGATTAAACTTTAAAAATTAACTTTATGTAGTAATATTATAAAGCTCTGCCATGTTGTTTAGTCTTAATTTAATCGATCCTAAAGTTTTACAGCAAGATGTCTACAAAGCACTTATGAACTTAGCATTTGAAACATTATTTAAGGCTGTTTTAACCCTTGTGCGTGCGAGGACTGAGGCAAACGTAGAGAACTGTGGCAAATGATACAATTTACGTGTGTGCAATCGGTTGGACCCTATTTCTAAACACAATGGTTAAGTAGTGCAATACAC